TCACGCAATCCCTCGACACCGGATCAATCTCCTTTGAATAATTATATTCATTTTTTTATCTTGTTTGTTGATACAATAAAAATCTGTCTAGAACTGAACCTGAATAAAACAAAAACCTGCTTAAACGGAAAAATCTTCGGAATGGAGTGATTTTCTATGTTAAATTTAACTATAAAATGGAAACCAGTCCAACGCGGAAACGGAAGAAATTCTTGGATACAAAAAACATAATTTAACCAAGTAAACTTGAAAATTAAGATTTACTTGCTAACAAAATCATCAGGTTTAATGGTCATCGCAATGTCTATCTTTTGATACATGATCTTAGTCAAGAAATGAAAGATGGGCTCTGCGTGACCTTCTTTACGTGACGAAGATCACGTAACGAAGGTCATGTAACGAGGGATACACAGACACAAGGTCTTTGTTAGTAACCAAGGGCAAAATCGACTATATTTAAGAATCGATAACTTTTAAGATTCGAATGAGTTCCCGAGAACAAATAACGAATGTAATTCGTTGAAAACAATGAGAATAAGGTAACCATAATTACAGTGACCATACGTCCTTTATTTAAGAGGACAGTCCTTTATTTCACTGCTATGTCCTTTAACTTTATTTATTTTCTAAAATAGGCATTTTGTCCTTTATTTTGTAAAGTTGACGCAAAGTTTAAAAAAATTTTTTTTAATAATATATTGAACAAGGTAGTTTTGTATACTCCATTGCTACATAGAGCACAGTAGTGCAGTGTGTCGCCAACCAAACGGCCCACTGACAGTACCAGGGGGTGGACACTCTTATGGGGATTTTTGTGATAGTTTTTTAAGTTTCTAGTTGATGGATGATACACTTGTTAATTAAAGCTGAAGTTAGTTGAAAGGAAAAAAGAGGGGTTTCTTCCTATTGTTATTAGAAAAGTGGTTTTAGCATTAGAAAAATCAGAAAATATACAAGCCAAAAAATTCAATGATGCTGTGTACACATTTTATCAAACGTGCATAGATTATCTAAATAATTGGGACATGTTTTTTATTGAAATAGAGGTGTTTGAATGGGTCACATTATGCGAAATCCCTTTGTGGGCGAAAGTAGAGGAAAGCTATATCTTTATTTCGAATCATTGGTCCGTAAATATACTCGACGGTGAATTATTTGATGAAGTTTCATGTGTAAAAAAATATGTCACAAACGAAAAGATCGACGAATGGTGACAGAATAACCAGCCCTGCCATCAAAGGTGGATTGAGATTTTTGAACATTTTACAGCAAAAGAAATTGTTTTCAAAAACATTTGTAAAATCGTAGAATTTTCTTTGTCTCCCTGGATCTAATGCCCCCGTTGAACGAATATTTTCATTGGTGAATAATATGTGGACGAATGAAAAAACTGATTTAAAAGTAAGCACATTAGAAGCATGTATTTCCATCAAATACAACTTTCAAATGAACTGTATGGAATTTTATGACTTTAAAGCATGAAACGGCGCTATTAAAAAAAAATTAATTCTACTGAAAAGTATCAAAATTAATGTTACTTAAATTTTTACAATGTGTTTATGTGTAATAATTCAGATTGTTTAAAATTTTAATGTATGCATTATTTTATGCTACTATTTTCATAATAAATATTATAAACTTATGAATTTTATAAGGTATTTTTTGATTTTCTTCGATATGTCCTTTATTTTCCCCCAAAAAATATGGTCACTGTAACCATAATGCCAATTTATCTCGTACAAAAGAGTAACTAACTAGTACTAAATATTTGAGAACGCAGGTCGGATGGCCGAGTGGTGAAGGTGACAGCCTACTTCTCTGGGTGACCCGGGATCAAATCCGGACGGGTCAAGGAATCCTCAGGAATTTTTCAGGGGTGGTCCGTTTGGATATGTCGGACCCCATCCCTCACCATCCGGTCGCCCCATTGTGGCCCTGGCTGAACCCATAATGGGCCTGCTATAAGCGGTCCTCCTAGTGCCCACAGGGGGAAAGAGTAAAAAAAAAAATATTTTAGAACTAACTAGTACGAAATATTCGAGTTGATTGAAATTGTTGGTAATTACAGAGATTGAAGTTAAGGATTTTTTTTAAACTCTTTCCGCTCTGTGGGCACTGAGAGGGCCTCGTTTTGCAAGCCCATTATGGATTCGGCCAGGCCCACAATGGGGCTGCCGGGTGGTGAGGGACGAAGCCCGACATATCCAAATGGACCACCCCCTGAAAAATTCCTGGGGATTTTTCGACCCGTTCGGATTCAAACTCAGAATGGGTCCCCGGAGCGATAGGCTGCCACCTTGACCGCTCGGCCATCCGGCCGCTAAGTTAAGGATTAATAAAGAAACAGGCATTAAAACACCATATAGTAATAATGTGTAGATTGTATACAAAAGTTTTATAATGAATTGAAAATTCAATAGATGTATATAAATTCACCTACAAAACTTCACCCCTGCTTTTAGCAGGGCTGAATTAATCAATTACAGAAAAAAGTCCAGTTTTGCAGCAACATCACTTTCAATGTACAAGATCGAATGTAAAGAAAGTGTTTCTTAGTACATTGTTTATCAGAGATAGTTCTTGGTCAATTTTAAGTTTGAAAATTGATCGTTCTGCATATCGCAACAATAATAGATAGCTTCTATTAATCCTTTCATTTTATTAATAAAATATTAATTTAGAAGTTTTTATTACTTAAACGCATAAAAGACACTTATTATTTTAAGTGTCTTTTATGCGTTGCAGTTATAACAGTTGACCAGCCTGTGACGTTGTGTATTACTTTAATAGTGTCTTGCATGGTTCCGAACACGGTTCCAACACTTTTAATTGAATACTGGATTGAATTAATGGATAAAATTGTAAACGATTATTGCCAAATGTCAAAATTTCTTTGTACGTGATTTGGAGTTGTAAATATGTCAGTTTCGCAGATAATCTGTAAAAAAAAAAAAAAGCTTAAGAGGGACTGTAAGTCCGAAATGCATACTATTAACCTCTATCTCCTGCGATTGAGTTGTACAGAAACGCACAGTATTAGTTTTTAACTAGCAATAAATTATCAATGCTGGCGTCGGTGAATTTGAAATAAAATTCTTTTTTGAGATACTGAAAACTATACTTTAAAACAGCGTTTCTCAACCTGGAGGTCTCGACTCCCAAGAGGGTCGCGGTGATATTAAAGGGGGCCGCGAAACAACAATGAAATCATTTTATGAGAAAAAAACATTTACTATAAACTTATAAACATTTTACTTACAATAAGTACACATGTAAAGAAAAGAAATTAATGTGATGGTTGCATTTGATTTTCATTTAAAATTTTTTCCATACGTGGATCTACTTTAGAAACACACAAAAGCAAAATGTTTTCGAGTGATAAAAGACGATTTACATTTACAAATTACATTTATAAAAAAAAATAATAATAATTGAATAAAAAAAAATTTACATTTATAATTACAGTCAAAATTCAATTAGTAATAGTAAGGCTTACTGTTATTATTCCTTTGGGTGGAGGTCGCGAAATATAAATTTTATTTATATTTACTATTTAGGGATCGCGGAGCTAAGAAGGTTGAGAATTGCTGCTTTAAAAGAATCAGACTTTAGAGCAGGAGTGACGAATGGCACGCGTGCCCAAAGTGGCACGTCGGGATAAATCATCTGCCACGTAACATTTCATACGATTTCGGTTTAACATCCAACTTTTTCAAATATTTGGTGAAGAACGGGCTTGTCATATCCGTGATGAACCTTGTGGCTTGATCAAATCTTGTGTTCTTAATTTCCCTTCCTTTCTTTTAAAATTAATACTTCCGGGCTTTGTCCATCTGGTCTCACAACTTATTGGCTGGTCTGATGTGTTCTTTGAAACAAAAGTCGTAGAATCTGATTGAAGAAGAATTAGCGAAAAAGGAGGATATAGGACGAGGAAAGACATCTTTTGAGATCGAGTTTTTGGAGGAATAACACATGTGTGTCGGTAAGAACGAAAAGCAATTTTCAACCATCACCAAACAAAGAAGATCCCAGGTTAATTTATCAACCGTCTCCCCTTTTTCTAAATTTTTCCATCTTAATTTTTATTTCTTCCAAAAAACCCCCCATCATCTTGATTCGGGTGTACTGTACTGTAAAAACTAGTTAAATTAGGTTAAGTTTCCTTTGTTTATTGTCGTCTCGTATTGTAAATTTCGTCCCCATTTGCTGTAGACCTATTAGTGTAAATTTGATAAATTTTTTTCGTCGGGAAAATTTCTTTTAAAGCAAACATTAAATTTCTTAAGTTCTATATACGCCGAGTGATTCTCGGGAGTCAATTTTCTTCTCGGTTACAACCTCGCCTGAAAAATTCCCGGGTTTAATTGACCTGTCCGGATTTGATCCTGTGATTTCCAGAGCAGAACCACTTTAACTGCTCGACCATCCAGTCATGTTTTTTAAAGGGAGAGCTAGAGACCATATTTGACCGACAAAAAGAGGGATGATTTCAAGTCTAGCTAAAATAGTACAAATGGTAGTACGGACGTGGACCCACCAGGGGCCAACCGGTATTCGTTCCCTGAAAACTGGGAGTTTGGTCGTGGGTTCGCGCCTCGCTCGGATGGGCTTGCCACGGGGAGTTTTCCGGGTTTTCTCCACGTCTGTAACGCCTAAATAGGGGCTAGTTTCCCTTAAAAAGACCTTCCGGAAGGCATCCCCTAGGCAGATCTCCAAAGTGTTGCGTTGTCATAACTTAAACAACAACATAGTACGGACGAATCCTTTGCTCGTTTTACAATAAATCGCAAAGTTGACAAATATGCTTTTACATATCATTGCCAGTCTGCCACGACGCAAAATAAATGATAACATTATAACTATGTTATATTTACATTTTAATAAAAATTTATTGCTTGTTTGTATTTTTGTTTATACATTATGGAAAGAAATATAATTTAGTATTGTTATATTTTAAACTATTTAAAAATTCTTTTCGTGTATGTTGGACACTTGCAGGAAGGGGTCGCTTTCTGTCTATCGGTCTATAGACACATGGTCATTAGAAGTTTTCTGATTTAAAATTTAATTGCTATTTCATCATTCAGTATAATAATTAATCTGTATAAGGTAAAAATATTATTGAAATCAAAATTTTACATATGATTTTATGATTATTAATAAGAAATCTGATAAAGTGCAAATATAACAAACCTACAATATGTTAGTGTAATTGTAACTTTTATAATATGACAATAATCACGTTTTTTAGGGCTAGATTAATGATATTATTTGTAATTAGGTTAAAATATATCAAAATATAGTTGTTTTTGTAGTAATTTATTTAAAGATATATGAACTTTTACCTATTTCATATTTATTCTATATAATAATTAAAAGTAAGTTGATTCCATATTAGTTTGTTGTTATGGTAAATATGTTTTAGAATGTTTCAAGTAATGAATAAAATTTGAAAGTATAAGGTAATAATATCTTTTAAGTAAAATCAATCAATTTAAATACATGAAGCTACATTGACCTCATTTACTTATATGAAATATTTGAGTAGAAACGGATTTACTAAAAAACTGAACTGTACAATCAAAAGGGAATGTCAAGCATATTACTAGAAAAATTTGAAATCTAAAGTATTTCATTTACTAAAAACGTTGAAGTTCAATTTTTGATGCTGAATAGAATATCACTTTGTCCAAGTAGTCAACCATCTGGCTTTTTTTAAAAGATATTTATTATTGTTAATTTGCTTTGCTTTATTTTAAATTATGTCTCCATTGTCTTCGTATTGATTGCTCTTTATTAAGTTTTTAAATATTATTCATATATTGAAGCATGCAATTCCATAATGTTGTAAATGCCAAAAAACAAACTTTTCAGGAGAGATGATAAACACTTTTTCTAATAAATTAATTCCTTCAAGACTTGAAGGAATTTATTTCAATTTTACAATAAAACAGTAAAAAACTCATTAGGTTACAAGTTATCTGGAATTACAAAATGATGTAAGCATAAGCCATAACAAGCATTGCACACTTCAGTTATTTAAGCAACATGTCCTAGTCTTAGGTCCTTCTGTGTGAGTGGCATGCTGGGCAACCAGCTGTCTCTAGCATATACAGTAATTTGCAATAGTTTCAGCCAGTTTTCCTGATTTTGATGATGTGACAGTAACATTGTATATTTTTTTATATATTCTTCCACAGTTCTCTTTATTCTTGGTCCAAAATTATCTGTAGGCTCTTGCAAACAAATATAAACATATGGTTAAAAATTCATTAATTATTAAAATAAAATAAATGAGTAAATAAATAAATACATTATAAGTATTTATAAATTTAAAAAAGGGGAGAAAAAGTATACACAACAAGAGAATCGAACCCAAGCACGCAAGCATACGAGTCAGGAGTGTTACCACTCACACCTCGGCACGCTCAAGCAGAAGTATATGTAACTTATATATAAAGTGCTAAAGAAAACTTTAAGTTTGTTTTTCTCAATTATATTTGAGTCTTGCACTTTAGTATTTTACAGGTGTACACTCACATGGTGTACTATCTCTACATCAAAGATCATCAAAATCTGTTTCCCTAAAGCCGTAGGGTCTCCTTGTCAGACCTAAAAACTTACTTGAAATCAGATCAAAACATTCATTGAAGATTAGTTAGCGAAGCATTTTCTTATAGCATGGAAATGATCAGTAGGGTTGCCAACTATTGTATTCTGCATTGTGCAGGACTGTCATATATTTTCAAATGAAATCCTGCAACATGTGAAGACACATGAAAATCTCACAAAATATGTTTAAATGATACTATTAAAGAAATTTATAAAAACATATTTAGTGAAAATGAAATATATGCAAGTGTAGTGTGTACAATAGACTTGTGACAGATTGACAAGTGAAATTAGCTTAATCGATCACTGATCTTGTAAGGATTTATGCTGCTAGTTGTATACAGAATCAGACTCACTTTCAAGAAGCTTTCAGTGTTACTAAATGTTTTTAGCTTTTCTCGTCAAAATTTTATTAAAAAGTAGCCCAAAAGTAGCCAACTTGGGAAAACTGATTATTTTTTATAAATAATCTGCAATTTGATGTTAAAATCAAAAAGTACTTTTGTACTTTTCGAGCAGTAACTTTAATCAAAGAACAAACATTTTCGGCCAATTTACATGCCTGAAGTAGATGTATTTTGAGCTTTGTGTATTTTGATCTTTATTTCTGGCCAATTTAAAGATAAATTGGCCAGAAATAAAGATCACAAAGCTCAAAATACATATCACTAAATACAGTTTATATATGTTAAGAACACTCATTTTATATGCAAAGTAGAATGCAACAAATTATACAACAAATGATCTCACCAAGACAGACTGTAAAAATTAATTTTCTCATGTAATTTTGAATTGTAGTAAACCACTGCCAAACTTAGTCAAATTATTGTCATTTTGCCTGTGTATTCCAGCTAATAATGCTTTTGTAGAAAGTTTTCTTTCTTATGAACATGTTTTGGATGAAAAACCGAAATAGGTGTTTTGTGAAATTAATAAATGGAGAATTGATGATTAAGTTAAATTTAAAGGAATCCTATCAAGAGTACTACAAGATAAAAAGCTTTTTTCTGAAGCATGATCTCAAAGTAACTATAATGTATGTTTAAGAAATAAATTGTTTCATATGAAAGTCTTACATTTTCATTGAAAATCCCCCATTTTTTACTAGCATGTCCCCAAAGATTTTTCTCCAGTTGGCAACACTAACGATCAGCCCCACATTGTTCACAGGATGATCATGTCAGTTTATCTTAGACATTGGTCTTTCTTAATCTTTGTACTTCTTGGATCTTCTTCTAAGTGTCTATCATATTGAAGAAGGAAACTTAGAAAAAAACAAATTTCATTCTCTTCAAACTCAAGAAATGATCAAATACCCAAAAGAGGTTTTGCAGGAAATTTCCAATGCTGATAAAACACTGAACTGGTATATTAAATGAAACAGAGAATATATTGAAAAGTAGTATAAATATTGAAAACATTTGCAATGAAGAAAGTTTAACAAATATTTTAAGGTGGATACATGCTTCTTTCCTTAATTTCATGATACTTTTGTCCATTTTGGATGCTCTTGTGTGTTAGGACTTGTTATACTGAGGAAGAGAAATGCACAATTTTTAGTTGAACTGTATTTACTGTAAATATAGTTAAAATCTTGAAAGATTACATTACAGTAAATATAGTTTAATTGGAAATTGTGTGTTTCTCTTCCCTCAATATAATAAGTCCTAATATACTGTACAAGAATGTCCAAAGTGGACAAAAGTGTAATATAAATATTTTAAGTCATGTAAAAATTTCTCATTTCACAATATCTAGATAATATTGTGCTCCATTTATATCATTGTTTTTTTATATATGTAAATATAAATCAACCCAAAATGCATTTGTAATCCAATTTCGTAAAATAAAGATGTTTCTAACCACAATACTGTGAGGCAATATACTGAACAAGTTTTGGATTAAAGAGACATTTCATATACAAGAACCAATAGACAGCAACCATATTATAGTGTGAAATATTTTAAGGATTTTATCCAACTGACCTTCATCATTGGAAGAAAGCATAAAGAATATAAATAATTAGCTAAATTTTGACAAAGATTTTTAGCATAGTTATTAACATCAATTAAATTTCTTGCAATATCTACATAATTTGTAATATATATGGGGATAATCAAAAAGTAACTTTAAAGGTCTGTGTTTTAAAAATCAAAGTGCTGTCAAGTATAACTCCAATATAAGTGATTGGTAATACTGAACAGTTAGAATGATGCACATTAGGACATTTAGATGGGACAATTTCACAGAATGGTATTGGAAATTTGCAAATAGATAAGAAAATTTAAGTGATGAAAGCTGCAATGGACAACTAAACTGCTCAACAGTGGAAATCGATGGATGTAAGAATTGATGGACTAATCTAGGATTATAGGCACGTTGCTGCAAAAGTGCTTTTTAACCTGGATTATGGAACTATACAACACATTGTTTATCCTACTGTAGTAAATCCTGTACATTTTCATTTCCATAATATAGGAATTTGGCTGTAAATTTTATTTTTGATCACCTCATGTATAATTCAGGCCTTGGAACAGATCACTGTTCTCAGTATTTTTAAATTAGTCACTTTTTCTCAACTGTTTTGGCTATGTATCATTCTTTCTCACTTTTTAAGCCGTTATAGGCAACAACGTTTTTGTCACATCAAATTGTCACATGTTATTTCATTAATTAATGTTTAATTAAATACATAAATTGCGACACTCAACATCTTTCTCTTGTTGCACATTGAAAACTTCACATTATTACATGACTTTTGAGGTCTTAAAAATGTTACACTGTATCAAATTTGAGAGTGCATAGTCTAACGTCCACAAAATTTTTTTTCGAAGTACAGTATATTTTTATTCTTTTTGAGTCCCTCACAATTAACCTTCAATTTCAGGGCAGATGTTAATAAGCCAGTCTAAAAATGAAAACCAAGTGCAAAAAATGATAAATAAACATAATTTACAACGACACTTTATCAATTTTCAATTTGTTTTAATAATTTTGATAATGTAACAAAACTATTGATTAAAGTTTTTTTCAAGTTTGCTAATATTTTATAAAATTTGGAAAGTTTATTAAGGGACAGTTTAATAAATTTATAGCTTTGTAACAGATTACAGGATTCATTGATAAAAAAATAAATAAAAACAGTGTTTAGTTTCTCAGCTTGTTATGTATACAACATGGGAAAATATTGGAATTGTGTCAAATTTGATCCTCTGTGTTTTAAGACCACCTAAATCCAAAAATGGCAAATAAATAAAAACTCCGCATGTGTTGGCATCTATTTTGTTTAATATCCCAGGAGAGGGTAATGATTAAGAAATGAAATTTACCACGGTAGCTTGTGTATAAAGGGTGTTGATGCTATTAAATTTTGGTGGTTATAGATCAAGGAGTGGGAAGATAGATAGAGATCACGTGTACAGATCATAACTCGAGTGGAGTTAAACTTCATGAAATTTTACTTGTTATTAGCATTTATAATTTCATATAAAACTCAT